TCCTACGGTTAGTAAAGTATTAATTCCTGTAGAACAGTTCAGCAGACAATTCTGAATCGAAATATGGAGTAACAATTTTCACACAATTTTCGCTGAGGATAGTTTTTTGATAAAATATTACTGCCAATTTATAGAATTTTTTTTGTTTGGTTGTTAATAAACGTTTAGGAATTTGATATCTTTAGAAATACAATGTTAAACCCGTTAGTTAGTCATGAAAAACATGTTTTTAACCAAAAGAATAACTACATTGCAGCGCAATCTTAAAAGTAAAATATCTTGCTATACAAGCGTCTCTTGTTAAGTGACTGTCAAAGAGCAAACACGAAGTATATCGACCAAAATTTGTGGCTTTTAAAACGTCCTGTTACGCGAAGGGCACCTGTACTGAGGTCGGCCCACGTGAAGTGGTCACCTACGGAAGGATGGAATCATAGAATAGAGACAAACCAATAGCGCTAAAATTAGTCATGGTCGGCTGCAAGCGGTGATCCCCTGCAACAATGAAATGAAAAATAAGGTGGATGGAAAAGTGGTGAGATAATTATCTAAATGTTAGGTTTAACTGGGTTTCATTATCGTAAGCAACGATAACGAAAAAAAACTTGACCCCGAGTTTTCCAATATTATGAGCTTCTCTTGGTGTTTTTACCGTAAGGATTTTTATCTGGCACAATTTGATTTGTGTGACATGAACGAGTTTTCTCGAAAGTGCTATCTTCACTTACCCTGCAGATTATTTCTCCATCCACCACAGCCGTGTGATTAACGACCATTGCACCAATAGCGACATTCAAATTTACTCCCAACTCAGACATAACAAAGAATCCAGTGAAAATCATCTCGGACAAAACGTAACGCTTGGGGAGAGTATTAACAGCCATTTTACGTTAGAAAAACATTAAGCAATCTTTAATAAACAGGGACGCAAATATTAAAATAAAAAAAAAACAGCAGTAGGAATCCTCCTTCTCGATTTGGAACAGAGTTAAGATTTACGCGTCTTTATAGATCTATTGGCCATAATTCAGCTCAGCACCATCTTCAAAAGGGAGTTCACGGTTTAAGTAAATGTCTCGTGGGCCAAACCATCTTTCTCCATGGTTATTTTCTCTAAGTTCATGTTGAAATGTACTAGACACTTAAAATTATATTTTGAGGTAATTATTTATTAAAAGACGCAGTAAAGAAAAGAAAGATGACAGGTTTTCAATTGAGTTATGTGTGAAAAGATGAAACGGGAGCTAATTGCAGCAGGTCTCTTTTCATCGAGTTGACGGGAGATATTTTGCAAGGCTCCGTTGATGTTTATTTTAAGTGTGTCTGCAAGCCAGTCTCGGTAAATCATAACTAAATAACTTCCTCATTAGACAATCTTTGAGATATCAAAACGTTTAATCAAAATTAAGCCCATCGTCAATATCTATGAAAGTCTCAAGCGATGAAATGAGTACCGTTTTCACAATATGAATTAAAAGTCCCTTTCTCTCACTGAGGGAGCGATATATATTCAAAGACAAAAAACGTGCTTTTTATACGTTGTTACATTAATAAAACTATTGCACACAAAAAATTCAAGAAAGTTTATCACTACTAAGAGCGTTGAAAGACGACAGTTACACACACCATCTGCCGAAAAAATTTCGCATCAACCGAACTTGTATATTACAATCATCACAAATTTAACTAAGAATTATAACAGTACGCAAAACAGATATCTTTAATTCTTAATTAGAAGCTACAGTTTTCTGTTAGCTTAAAGACGCAACTATCACAAATGAAACCATGCTGGTCGAATTTTGATCTCGGTGTGCTTTAAAGAATATAATTGTCCTCGAAATGACTGCCATGTAATACCTTGTGCGTAACCTCCGCCTTTGTACAAACCATTTGGATTGGCATTATGGCAGTAGTTGTACCACCAGCCACCTTTAAAGCTTGACGCACAGTTTCCACCAGTACTAACGTCGTTAGTAAACCTCATGTCTCTATAATATATATCAAATATATCAAAAGCATTTCGTAAGAAACCAAGAAAGAGCCGGACAGCAATGCTTCTAACAGAATATCATAGTCAGTAAAGTGCAGATGGCATTTCATGATAGAAAATATGCAAGCAGCACTAATTGTCAAAAGTGCAAATGAAAAGATTCCCCTATCAGGAGAGTTTGAGAGAATGGAATGGTAAGCAAGTACACATATTTTCTTGGTTAATAGTGTTAACAGGAATTTGATGTCATAATAATGTTGAGAGAAGCAATCCTGGTTAGCATTCAACTGGAAGTTAAAATATTTGATCGGCTATGATGCATCCGGGATGCGATACCTCAGCTTAGATTTGCCATTTGTAGAAAAAGCTGATCAGGTTAAGTGTAGGGATCCTCGACTACAAACCATCATCAAAGTATTTCCAAATTCTTGGGCACAAGCTTTTCAGAAATTACCCTTATATTACTAGTAATTCTCAGAGCAAAGTACAAAAAGCTGATGTCTGATCGGCGATGATGCACATCAGCTTAGATTTGTTATATGTAGAAAAAAAGCTGATCAGCTTAAGAGTAGGGGATCCTCGACTTCAGGAAATCCTCAACGTATTCCAAATTCTTGGGAAGGAGCTTTCAGAAATTATCCTTATATTACAAGTCATTCTCAGAGCAAAGTACAAAAAGCTGCTATGAGACATACTTAATAGGCCTCGAGTACGAAAGCAATGAGTCGCCTGCAGTGCCTCGGTATCCATCGATTGTCACTTGATAATTGTCGCTTTCGTCGGCCACAGCGAAAGTTGTGTACTCGGCAAATCGTGGGTCGTTTTCGTAATCCTCCATATCAATTCGAGACACCATGTTAGCAGATGCAGTCAGACGGTGAAGATAATCGTTTCCGAGCCAAAACTCGCCCTCCAGATTTCCAAAGCCTTTTTTGTATGATTCCCAGTCGACATAAAAGTCCACGGAGCCATCCATGCGCCTTTGAAAGATGGTCCATCCTCCGCCATCAGTTATCATGTCGCACGGCACTTGAAAGGGTTCTTCTTCATCAGGGTAAACCCAGTACACACCGTCAGTTTTGGAACCATTTTGATAATAGTCAAGACAGTTCTTAGGGCAATCTAGAAATTTAAAAAAAAAAAAACGCAAACGTAAAACGCTTTGACAATCACAGAAAAAAATTACATATTCTCGCTCTCTCTCCCTCTCTAAATGTTTTTGTAGAGGATGTCGTATCTTTGATCTTTCGTAACCTTGCCTCATCTGGTGCTTATCTACCCGTTTCATCTGTCCCAGTATGTTTCTCTCCTAGAGTTGTTTTTGTATTTCCTCTAACGGACTTACACTTACCTCTAATACA